AGTCAGAATTTTTTTTTCTTTTTCTTCTATGGGGTGTTTACAGTACCTTATTATGAGATTTCAGTAAAGTATTTGGTCATAGGCTCTGTGTTGTCTGCTGGCCTTTGTGTGTTGTCAGCAGCTTCTGCGAAACTCCCCAGAAATTCCCATTTATTTTCTTATGGTAATCCATGGTATACTGAAACCTCAATGGGGAAAGTAGCTATGTAGAAGGGATAACTGTAACCACTAACCTTGGTTGTCTCCCAAGACTATCTCATGGGCATTCATCTTTTTTCCTTGACACAATTTCATTTAGTGATCTCATCATCAGCTCCTGTGGATTTACTTATTGCTAGGCAGATGATTGTCAGATCAATTTATCTAGTCCTAATGTGGTACAGTGCCAGGCCTGGAGTCAGGAAGACTCATCTTCATGAGTTCAAATCTGGCCTCAGACACTTACTAACTGTGTGAAACTGGGAAAGTCATTTAACCCAGTTTGCCTCTGTTTCTTCATCTATAAAATGGTAAACCGCTCCAATATCTTTGCCAAGAAAACCCCAAATGGGGTCACAAAGAATCAGACATGATGAAAAAGCAACGACCACCACCTTTCTTTGGACCTTCAGTCTCACATCTCCAACAACTATTATTCTCTAAGTGAATGTCCCTCATAGGCATCTTAAACTCAACATATTCAAAACAGAACTCATCTTTTTCCCCTAAACCTCCCATTTTTGTAACTTCCCTAGTAATGCTGAGGGCAGTACCAACCTCCCAATAATTCATGTTCACAAATAAAGTGTCAAACCTTAACTACTCACTGTCTCATCTTCCACTGCCAATCTGTTCCCAAGTGTCATAATTTCTACCTTTATAAGGTCCCTTGTATATGCCCTGTTGCAGGCCCTTATCACCACTGACACTTGGATTGCAATAGTTCAGGTCTGATCATGTCATTCCTTCTCCCCTAGCCCCATTCATATAAACTTATGTAACTTTGTATTACTTTTAGGATCAAATGGAAATTCTCTACCATGCTTTTAAAGCCCTTCATAGCCCAGCCCTTTCCTACTTCTAGTCTTTTTACACTTTACTGTCTAGTGATGTTGACTTCCTTGCTGATCCTCACAAATAGCATTCTATCTTCCAGTTGTAGGAATTTTCAGTGGCTTGAATTCTCCTTCCTTACCTCTATCTTTTGTCCTTGAAGGTTTATTTCATGTCTCAGTTAAAATTCTACCTCTAGAATTCTACCTCTGCGCCTTTCCTTATTCCTCTTATTGTTAAAGCCTTCCACCTGTTAATTACCTCCAATTGATATAATATATATTTTGTTTGTTCATAGTTGTTAGCATATAGCCTCCTGCGTTAGATTATGAGCTCCTTGAAGGCAGGGACTGTCTTTTGCCTTTCTTTGTATCTCTACCACTTAGTATAGTGCCTAGCAAAGAGTAGGTGCTTAATAAATGCTTGTTGATTTGACTTGATAAACGTATCCTAACATTCCTTATGTAATTTTTCACAGGGCTATCATTTCATGACATTATTTTTGAAGATGCAGCATATGATGGAAATGTTTCATGGTTGCAGAGATCTGAGTTTCTAAAGAATATTCCGTTGTGAAATTCAAGTTAGTGGATCTCTGCTTAAGTTCACTTCATTTTATAACCATGTATCTACAAGACTTTTTATGTAAGAAATGTCTTTTATAACTATCTAGAACTTAAACACCAAACTTAAAAATGATGTTTCTTTAAAGTTATTAAAAAAGACAAATGGCATTCTTGTGACACACATGTATATATGTGTGTTTATAGGAATGTATATATTGTGTATATACATATATGTTTACATGCATGTATATAAATTTATCGGTACATATATGTAGATTTGCATGTACATGTCTACATATATGTAAAACATTCTTCACTAAGTCTTAATTGTTATCATCCTTGAATGATCTTTCTGGAATTTTCCAGAATTTAGACTTAATTAGAAATCATTTGCTCTTTTCATTCATTTACTTAATGGTGGAATTAACCCTTTCTTTTAGCAACTTATCACTTGCCTCCAACTTTTAGTATTCATTCTCAGTGAAATATTTCTAGCTGCTTGCAATGGTCATGGAGCCATTTGGTTTCTTCTGAGAACAACTTTTTCTTCTTTTTTCCTTCTGCCCTTCAGAATACTTTTTTTCAGGAGTGTGGGGTGGGGTATGGGCAGCTACTGCTGAGGAAAATTACTTTTCCCTCTTCTCATTCCATTTCTAAGATTTTCCTACTTGTTACTCAGTTTTTATAGTCCTGTATCTGAATGACCAGAAGATCACTTCTTCCCTTGTCTAAGGAATATAAAGTTGCACGTCTTTTTCTGCGCCCTCCTTACCATCTTTCTTCCCTCTAAGAAGTTCTTCTGATCCTACCCATGAACATTTAACAAGTCATGCCAAACTGAACATGATGTTTTTGACTAGGTTACTAAACTGGAAGATTGTGGAAATAACATTAGATTTCATAGCCAAATATTTTATAAAGTATTGATAGACCATTGTATTTATACTTATAAAGTATTATGATATTATGAAATCATAAAATATTTTATAGCCAAGCATTTCATAAACTATTGCCTGCTATTTGGGGGGAAATGATGAAGAGAAATGGATTAGTGGAAAGTATGGTCAGGTTGATTCAGAACTGGGTAAATGGCTAGACCCAAAGAGTATTTCTTAATGGTTCAATGTTAACTTGGAAGAGGCCCTCAGGAGTTTTTGCTTAACTATTGCTGTTCTACACTTTATCAATGACTTGTGTAAAAGCAAAGATGGCATGATTATTTTCAGATGGCACAAAGCTCAGCAGGCTGGCTAAAGTTTTGGCTGATAGAGTCCACATTCTAAAGGTTATTGAAAGGCTAAAATGTTGTTCTGAATTGAGTAAGATGAAATGTCAATCCATTCATCAAACAAAAAAGCATTTATAAAGCACATCCTATATGCCAGACATATGAATGAAAAATCTTTGCCCTTAAATGGCTTAAATTCTACTGATACTGCAAACCCAATATGAATAAACAGTGTGATGGGACAACCAAAAAGGCTTAATGTTACCTTAGGCTATAGCAGTGTTGGTGGTGGTGGTGGTGGTGGTGGTGGTAGTGGTAATAACAACAAAAATAGTTAGCATTTAGATAGCAAAGTTTGCAAAGCACTTCATGTATTTTCTCGTTTAATCCTTACAACAACCCTGGGAGTTAGATATTATTATTATTATCCTCATTTTACAGATGAGGAAAATGAAGAAGACAAAGGTCAAATGACTTGCTCAGGGTCACATAGCTAAAGTCAGGGGCAGAATTTGAACTCAGGTCTTCCAGCCTCCAGCTTTAGTGCTTTATTCTCCTTAAGTCCTAGCTGCTTCTAAAAGCACTCAGAAAAAAAAAAAGGTAATGAAAGCACCACTATACTCTGCCCTGCCAGACCATATCTGGGGTAATATATTCATTTCAGGGGTGCGCTTTAGGAGGGTCACTTACAAACTATGTAACAGAGGAAGAATGAGAAGAAGGGTCATGGAGGACCTCAAATTTGTACCATATGATGGTGAGTTGAAGGAAATGGAGGACTTAGCCTGGTTAAAAGAAGACTGTAGGGCATAATAATTATTCTGAGGGTCTGAAGGACTGGCATATGAAAAAGGGATTAGATTTGTTCTGCTTGGCTCCAGAGAGCAGAACTAAAAGAGGTGGGTAGAATCTATAAACAGACACAGCTAAGGGGGCCAGGGGAATCCACTTTCTTACAGGTATCTTAACATAGAACAGGTTACCTCAAGATATGCTAACTTCACCCACAATGTTGTGGGCCACACCTAGCTTAGGCCAATTCAGTGATTCAAGCTGAGGTATAGAAGGCAATGATATGCTTGTGTATATAATTATTAATTCAAATGGATGTTACTCCCCTCCTCATTATTGCCCTGGTTCAGAAGGACATCCTACAGGGTAGCAGGAATTCTGCTAAACCTCCACAGCATCACCTTCTCACAGGTTGAGCATTTTTATGCCTTAGGTAACAAGGAAGGAATACTCTTGGCCCTTGTTCTCTTAAAAGGAAAGCAGACCAGGCAATATATAACAGAAGTGGTGCCTATGAAAGAAAGTCTTCAAGTATTGGCTGCATAAGGTTTTTTTTTTTTTTAGTATGGATTGGTCTAGATGGACAGTGATATCCCTTTCAACTCTGACATTCTGTGATTGTGCATATAACTGAGTTTACTAATTAACAGTCAAGTCTAGCAATTCCTTTAAAATTGTATCACACAGAAAAGCATTATTTTAAAAGCTGTTCTACTGGCTGTTCATTTTACAATACATTCTTCTACCTACTTCCATGCATTTTCAAAGGACATCTTCCATGCCTAAAATACTTTCCCCTATACATCTCTGCCTTGTGAATTCCATGTATGACTTAGATCAAACTCAGATGCCACCTCCTCAATGAAGCTTTCTCTGATTCCCCCAGGTGGAAGGCATCTTACGTGACTCAAATTTATTAGAACATTTTGCCTAGAACCCCTTCTTTGCCCTTATCACATTCTACCTTGTGACATAGTCATGTGAGTATGCATCTTAAACATCCTATTATATTCCTTGAAGGCTGGCACTTTTTTTTTTACCTTTCTAATTAAATTTTTTTTATCATCATTTCTTAATATAGTGTTGCACTCATAGGATGCATTTAATAAATCCTTATTAAATTGTTGTAAAAGCACACAAAACCCATAGCAAATAAACTTGGAATGACAAATTAGACAGAACAATGAAAAGAAAATTAACTTCAATTCAAACACTTATTAAGCACCTAACACATGAAGGGCATTGCACCTGGCATAGAGGTAGATAAAAAAGATTAAATTTGACACCTCTTTGCCTCAAGGAGTTGACAGTCTGGTTTTGTAATAAACAGAATCAAAATTAAATGATTCCCAGGGTAGTAGTTAAATAGTTGAAGTACGTACGTTTTGTCCAAGAAGTCCATAAGAGGTCTTAGTACAATTTCTGCATCCATAGCTGCATTGTTCTTGTTGGAGGTGGTATTTCCATTTCCTTTCATCTGATTCAATTCTAAACTCATCTGCTTCACGCACTCTTCAATTATGAGCTGGAAACTAAACATATACACAACACCCCCCCCCCAAAAAAAAGGAATTTTGGAGTGAAATTTGACCATGTTCAACCTCCTCTGTCAAATGTCTTAAATAGCTTGTTTGGGGTGGGGGTTGGGAAAGGGGTCAGGTCAAGTTTCATTACTTAAAGTTCTCCATAAACATGAAGATACGTGGAAACGAGCAAATAATACTCAGTTTGTGGGCATGCTTACAACACCTCTGTGTGTAATTCTGACACAAACTAGATCCTTAACTGTTTATGCTCTCCTCCTGCTAAAATTACTTTTATTTTGTCTGTTTCCATGTTTTATTCACCTAGAATTTAAGTTCCTTGAAGGGTACTATCATTTGGCATTTTCTTATTTGTATGCCTAGGACACAATGCCTTGCACAAAGTAGGTGTTTAATAAATGATTGCTGAATGAATGAATTAAAAGAGCATTTATTAAATGCTTACTATGTGCAAAGTACTGTGCTAAGCATTAGGGATACATGTGTGCTTGTGTGTGTATATGTATATGTGTACTTATATGTGTGTAAACACACACTTACACACATCATATATATATATATGCGTGTGTATGTGTGTGTGTGTATATATGTATATGTATATATATATATATAATATATATATGTATGTATATGTATATGTATATGTATATGTATATGACAGCCCCTGTTCTCAAGGAGTTCATATTCCATTGAAGGAAACAACATATATGTAAGGTTTAAGTAGCAAGTCAAATGTAAAGGTTCTTAAGGTGCAGCGGCAAAGCAGATAGATGGTAATGCCTCCTCTTTAATTCCATTTTCACTGATAAAATATTAACAGTTTTTGATGCTAAACCATTTGACAGAGCCAAGGACATTGATGGCAGAATTTTTTTTCCTGGGTCTTTAGTAGCTGTTGGTTATAGCCATATTGTTGAATGACCTTGGTACCACTGACTTTGGACAGTGCATCTATATATATTAATTAATGATGTGGCTCATGATCTCCTCTGCCTAATTTAGTTCTAAGACTTTTCTTTTCCTAAGATATTTGGACATTGAACTTCCATTTCTTTTCCAGGGATTGTAAGGAGCACTAAAGAGTTCATTTCAATCTAGTGAAATACCACTAATGCAAGGATTCAATTTTTTTCCTTCTCTCCTCTAATCCTTGAATACATTTTAGAGATGATTGTGAAGCTAAGTATGTTAGGAGAAGAAAGGAAGCTAGAAGTGGTGGGAAAGGAAAAAGGGTGCAAAATATTCATTCCATTGAAAGAGTACTGAGAAAGAAGGGAAAATTAATTTTAATCATATATTCAAAATAGGGAGCAAAGATAATATCCTCCTATCCCAGGCTAAGTCTCTTTTCCCCACTACTCATTCTGGTTAATGATAACAAAAAGTAAATAATACTGATAGATTCATTAGATTGCTATATTTAAGCAAGGTAATTATAACCCTAATGATTCTCTCAAATTATCACTGTCATTAATATCTCAAAGCAATGAAATAATAGAAAGATAAATATGCCTTTTTAATTTTGGAGTTTAAGATCATGGGTTTGAAATGGAGCAGAACTTAGAGATTATCTAGTTCAGCTTCCCCTTTAAACAGATAAAGAAATTGAATCAGATAAATTTAGTGTCTTGATCAAGGTCCCCATAACCTGTGACTTTGAAACCAAAGCTCATTTCAATATACCACACTACTCAGCAAAAGCTTATATTCGGTAAAATGATAGTTCTTTGTCATTTATTTCTAATGCAATCTCTTCCCCTTTATTTTTGATGCTTAAAAAAAAGAATGTCGGGGGGCAGAGCCAAGATGGCAGAATGAAAGCAGTGACTTGCTTGAGCTCTCCCCCAAACCCCTCCAAATACTCATAAAAAATGGCTCTAAACAAATTCTGAAGCAGCAGAACCCATAAAAAGACAGAGTGAAACAAATTTCCAGCCCAAGACAACGTGGATGATTGATCAGAAAGATGTATCACGCCAGGCTGGGAGCACAGTGCAGTGTGGGCGTGCAGGCCACAGCGAACCTGGAGCAGGCCTCAGAGGACTGAATCACAGGCAGCTGTGGAGGTTTCCAGACTCCTCAACCCACTAATGCCAAAGACAACTTAGAAGGTCAGTGGGAAAAGTCTGTTTCTGGCGGTGCTGGAAAAGGAAGGCAGGTTCTCAGCTTCATTCCCCAAGAGCGTGGCCCTGGTTGGGGCAGCTGCTTCCCGAGCTTCAGGCCCACAGACTGAGGGGGAATCCAGTGGCTGATCAGAGAGGGATTGCAGGAATCTCTTGGCCAGCGCTAAGGCAGGAATCTCTTGCCTTGCCTGTGTTTGGATCTGGGTCACAGTTCTGGATGATGGTGCTGAGGTAAGGAGGAATGTGGAGTTGGAGCTTGTAGTGGCTGTTGAGAGGAACCCCTCCTCACAGTTACAGGACAGAAAGGAATACTTGTGGTCACAGGCCAGGAAAGGAGTAAACACCTCGCCCCTTATCATACCACCTTGCAAGAACTGAAAATTTACAGGTCCCTGCAAGTATCTCTGAAAACAGCTACACAAACCCCTGAAGCTTGGGACAGTACATTCTCCACATTGGAAGCAGACTCTTACCTTAACAAAGAGTTTAAAACTCAAGTAATTGGCCAGGATCATGAGCAAGCAGCACAAAAAGAGTCAGACTATATTATCTTACTTTGGTGAAAAAGAAGATCAAAATATACAACCAGAAGAAGACAACAAAGTCAAAGCTCCTACATCCAAAGCCTCCAAGAAAAATATGAATCAGTCCAGGCCTTGGAAGAGCTCAAAAGGGATTTTGAGAAGCAAGTAAGAAGTAGAGGAAAAACTGGGAAGAGAAATGAGAGTGATGCAAGAAAATCATGAAAAACAAGTCAACAGCTTGCTAAAGGAGACCCAAAAAAATACTGAAGAAAATAACACCTTAAAAAATAGCCTAACCCAAATGGCAAAAGAGGTCCAAAAAGCCAATGAGGAGAAAAATGCCCTAAAAAGAAAAATTGGCCAAATGGAAAAGGAAGTCCAAAAGATTACTGAAGAAAATACTTCCTTAAAAATTAGAATAGAGCAATTGGAAGCTAGTGACTTTATGAGAAATCAAGACACTGTAAAACAAATCCAAAAGAATGAAAAATTAGAAAACAATGTGAAATATCTCATTGGAAAAACAACTGACCTGGAAAATAGATCCAGGAGAGAGAATTTAAAAATTATTGGACTATCTGAAAGCCATGATCAAAAAAAGAGCCTAGACATCATCTTTCAAGAAATTATCAAGGAAAACTGCCCTGATATATTAGAACCAGAGGGCAAAATAGAAATTGAAAGAATCCACAGATCTCCTCCTGAAAGAGATCCCCAAAGGAAAACTCCTAGGAATATATAGCCAAATTCCAGAGTTCCCAGGTCAAGGAGAAAATATTACAAGCTGCCAGAAGGAAACAATTCAAGTACTGTGGAAACACAATCAGGATAACACAAGATTTAGCAGCTTCTACATTAAAGGACCACAGGGCATGGAATATAATATTCCGGAGGGCAAAGGAGATAGGATTACAACCAAGAATCACCTACCCAGCAAAACTGAGTATAATCCTTCAGGGGAAAAAATGGTCATTCAGTGAAATAGAGGACTTTCAAGCATTCCTGATGAAAAGACCAGAGCTGAATAGAAAATTTGACTTTCAAATACAGGACTCAAGTGGAACATGAAGAGGTAAACAGGAAAGAGAAATCATAAGAGACTTATTAAGATTGAACTGTTTACATTCCTGCATGGAAAGATGATATTTATAACTCATGAGACCTTTGTCAGTATTAGGGTAGTTGGAGGAAAAAAATTATATATATGATAGATAGATAGATAGATAGATAGATAGATAGATATGATAGATAGAGAGGCACAGGGTGAGTTGAAGATTAAGGGGTCATATCTGGAGAATAAAATTAAGGGATGAGGAGGATTATACAGAGAAGAAGAAAGGGAGAGGTAGAATGGGGTAAATTATCTCACAAAAAAAAAGAAAAGAAAAGTCTCTTACAGTGGAGGGGAAGCAGGGGAAGGTGAGAGGGAATGAGTGAATCTTATTCTCATAGGATTTGGCTTAAGGAGGGAATAACATACACATTCAATTGGGTATGGAAATTTGTCTTACCCTACAGGAAAATAGGGGAGAAGGGGACAAGAGCAGGGGGATGATAGAGAGGAGGGCAGATTGGGAAAGGGGTAATCAGAAGTAAATACTTCTGAGGAGGACAGGGTCAAAAGAAAGAATAGAATAAATGGGAGGGCAGATAGGATTAAGGGAAATAGAGTTAATTTTTCACAACATGTCTACTATGGAAGTGTTTTGCGTAACTGCACATATACAACCTATATCGAGTTGCTTGCCTTTTCAATCAGGGTGGGTGGGGAGGGAGGAAGAGAGAAAATTTGAAACCTAAAGTTTTAAAAACATATGTTTAAAAAAAAGTTTTCACATGCTATGGAGAAATAAGAAATACAGGAAAAGGGGTACAGAAGGCTATCCTGCCCTATAGCAAAATAGAAGGGGAAGAGGATAAAAGAAGGGGGGAGAGAAAGAAAAGAAGACAGACTAGGGGAAGGGATGCATGCCATCTTGGGGGGGGAGGGTGAGACGGGGTGAAAATTTGGAACTCAAAAACTTGTGGAAATGAATGTTGAAAACTACAAATAAATAAATTAATAGTTAAAAAATGTAAATTCCTCAAGGGTGGAGCCTATTTTATTTTTGTCTTTGTATTCTCATCATCTACCAGTGTAATCAGCACATAACAAGTACTTAATAAATGTTTGTTGATTGATTGATTAAAAAAAAGAATGTCTTTAATGGTCTCTGAAAAAAATAAATCTAAATAAACAGTACTATAAATATTTAATCAGTTGATCCACTGTTCAGTCTTTAAGGATAACCAGTAATGCCCCTCTTCCTTATGGAAGGCCAAGTCATTATGTGAAGGTAGG